TCCATCATTTCATTTTTATTCCCACTCCCCACCTCAGTCTTTCACCTCAATTTCCCACCTCCTCCCATTTTATCCTCATTCCATCTTCCTCTTTAAAGAAAAGGTGCGAACAAGAGATGAACAGGAACGGGGAGTAGCAGCTTCAAACTGTGGTGTGTGTGTGTGTGTGTGTGTGTGTGTGTGTGTGTGTGTGTGTGTGTGTGAGGAGCTCAGGTGTCAGTGAAAAATCCCACTAACACCACAAACAAACATCAGAGGCCATTATGTGTATTTGTGTGGATTGTGTATGCAGTGCCAGAGGGCAGGTAATTTTAATTCAGGCATCCAAGGAAACTGATACCACAGAATTGAATATTTATTCCTTATCAGAAGCTGGGATATTAATGAGGGAGCTGTAACTGAGCAGGTTATGGAGAGAGAGCGAGAGAGAGAGACAGAGGCTGGTGGCTGGAAACAGGCAGATGGTGTGTTTATACCTCTGTTTTCATGTGTGTGTAGGATGAAAGCACATGAGCTCTGCCTAGTGTTTGCCCTGTAGAATTACATCTAACAAGGACATGGTGATGCCTGTATTCCCAGCTCAGTCTAGTGATTTTTTTCTAACCCAGTTTGTGGCTGTAGTTTAGAGGAATAGTGAAGATAACAAACCTGTTATATACAGTATTCCTATAGCAATCCCTAGAGAGAGCCATACAAATATTTCTGTGTTGTACAGATTAAAAAAACACAACTGAATCACAGTAAAGTCACTGCTAAGTACCAGATACACCCTATCAGTCCATTAAGCATACAGTCAGGTGCATAAGTATTTGGATAAGGACACAATTTTGGTCATTTTGCCTCTGTACACCACTTCGGTGCATCTGAAATGAAGCAGTCAATATATTATTGAAGTGTAGACTTTCAGCTTTAATTCACGGGGTTTCACAAAAATATTACTTTAAATGTTTAGAAATTACAGCTATTTATAAACATAGTGCCCCATTTTCAGAGGCTCAAAAATAATTGGACGTGTGACTGACAAGTAGTTTTGTGGCCAAGTGCGACATGTTCCCTCGTTATTTCATGGCAAATTTAGCAGATAAAAAGGTCTGGAGTTTATTCCAAGTGTTGAATTTGCATTTGGCTGCTGTCCATTGAAACTCTCAGTATGCGGTCCAAAGAGGTGTCGATGGAAGTGAAGGAGCCCATCATAAGGCTAAAAACAAAACAAACAAAACAAAACAAACCTGCTAGAGAGAAAGCAGAAACTTTAGGAGTGGTCAAATGCATAATTTGGTTCATTCTCAAAAATGAGGAATGCACTGGTGAGCTCAGAAACCCCCAAAGACCTGGAAGACCACAGAAGACAGCTAAAGTGGAGGATTGTGGAATTATTTCCTTGGTGAAGAAAAACTCCTTCATGACATCTACCCAAGTCAAGAACACACTCGAGGAGGGAGCACATCACTGTCAGAGTGAATGTTAATAAAGAGGGTTTACCTCAAGGTGCAAACCACTGGTAACACTCAGGAACAGAAAGGACAGATTAGACATAGCCAGAAAACACCTGAAAAATCCTCCACAGTTCGGGTGCAAGTTAATCTTATTTTCATTTGTCCAGAGAATCTTGTTCCAGACAAGAGTACGGAGAAGGAAAGGAAAGGCTCGTGATCCAAAGCACGCGCCATCATCTGTCAAACATGGTGGAGGCAGTGTTATGGCATGTGTAGCTTCCAGTGGAACTGGATGACTGGTGTTTACTGATGATGTGACTGCTGATAAAAGTAGGAGGATGAAATCTGGAGAGTATATACACTATCTACTCAGACTCAGCCACATGTTGCAAAACTGTAGGACAGTGCTTCACAGTACAGATGGATAATCACCAAAAACATACAGCAGCAGCAACCCAAGACCTTCTCAAGGCAAAGAAATGAAATAATCTTCAATGGCGAAGTCAGTCACCTGGCCTCAACCCAAATGAGCCTGCTTTTCACTTAACTGAAGACAAAACTGAAGACAGAAAGCCCTACAAACAAGCAGCAGCAGAAGGCAGCTGCAGTAAAGGTCTGGTAAAGCATCTCAAAGGAGGAAACCCGATATTCAGTCCTGTCCAGGTTCCATACTTCAGCCAGTCAATGACGATTTGCATTCATGTATTAAAAATAATTCTGTTAGTTTGTCCAGTTACTTCTGAAACATGCATACAAATGGTTGTAATTCCTAAACAGTACTTTATACATTTCCACCAGTCTTTGTAGGGATACAACAAAGATGTAATGCACTGCCAGTAGGTGTGGATGTGTTGTTTCTGTTTGTTTGTTGTTTTGTTTTGTTTTACCTTTGGACAGAGCCAAGTTAGCTGTTTTTCCTTCTTTTGGGCTTAAAGCTATGCTAAGTTAAAACTAATTATCTACTGACTGTAGCTTCATATTTAACAGAGTCTGGTGGTTGGGAACAAGCAGGCGGGCACGTGTCAGTGATACCGATGTTCTCATCTAAATATAGACAAGAAATAAATAGTATATTTAAATAAGTAAATAACCATATTGCCATAATGTCAAACTGTTTCTTTAAAAGGTCACATAAACTTTATACTGAAGTCAGAGCAACATTAAAACCCCCTCATAAGTGACACCACTTAACATTCCTCGTGTCTTGGAGTCACAGAGTTCAAAGAAACCAATGTGTAACAAATCTCCCCTCACCTTATCTCCTTTGACATTCGCTCATTTGGCCTGCTCCCATCTTAGTGGAACAATGGAGCAGCACTACTAGCGGCTCATCCTTGTGATTCTGTCTCCCTGGAGCCCCGGTCCCCTTCCAGTGGTGTGCAAATGTAGGTCGAGCGTGCTGTGTTAGCGGGCCCGCTATTGTTTGGATGAGGAGTTTTAGTCAAGATGAATTGTCAACTCAAGCACTTGAGCACATTTATTAATGTAATAGACAAGAACTGGAGGCACTTTTCTAAAATTGTCTGTTATTATTGATGATTGACAACCAGGTGGCAAAGTTCTGTGTAAAGTAATAAGGTCTCACAAACTGTTTCCATCCAGGTGTTTCTAAACATGTTTGAATTTGCATGAGAAACCTGGGTGGAAGCAACCCAAAATTTGAAAAAAGCTGAAATATCACAAAATGATTTATGCTTGGTTGAGATGGAAAAGTTGGTGCGCTGATTAAAACCGAGATGCGACAAAGTGCAATGGAAACAAGTATAGAGAACCCCTCTGCTCAGAAACCAGGAATGGCAACCAAAGTTTAATCTGTTGACAGCAAAAGGCGTATAGTTTTAGATGTAAACCAGACCCTGAAGCTTCTTTCCACTGTTTTTATTTGCTATTTAACATTAGTCTGTATAAGGCATGCACCATTGCTAGTTTTGCTCCCTGTTAGTAGCATACAGTAACTGAGCGCTAACGGCTAACCTACTGCTAATAACTGAGTTTCACGGTTCTTTCTATGTTTTGAATCAACTTAGAAAGACATGCTGACATACTATCAAATTCTCAGCCAGACAAATACATTTGCATATTTTGCTCAGACCTCTTTTATACCATTAAGGTTAGTTAAGGTTGCAAACCTCAAGTACTGCGGACTAGACATACTGTAGCTGTACAGTTAATCAAAATATTTACTACAGGCACAAATTCAAATTCCACCTTTTTTTCTCCAGGACAAAGATGTTTTAGATTGTTTGAGACAAACATAGCCTAAGTAATGAATTTTCATATTGTGCAGAATCTGTAGCCTGTAAATGAAGTGTTTTCAGGAGGGAAAATCATTCATTTTACTCAAACTAAACACCCAATTTTTGGGCATCTTTCAAGCACTGAGAAAAACTGTTCTGTTGTGTCCCAGGCCACATCTCAGCTACAATACTAAACCAAAAGACATGGCAATAGGCCTGTGATTGTTTTTCTGTGTTAGCGGTGTGCAGCCCAGTAGCACATTCCTTGTTCCAAACCGATCAACAGACTACAATAGTTGCCTTCTTGTCTGAATCTCCATCTGCTCCTTCATTCATCCATCCATTTATTTACTTGTATGTTGCAGAGAGCAGTGTTTTATTTTGAGAAACTGCTGAAAGAACAAAATAAGATGGGAGAGAAAAGCGGTGTTTGGAGCAGGGCAGGGCCTTATCCCTGGCACAAAAGCACTCTCTGATCCCTGGAACACAATAGAGCTAGCCCCCTTGCACCTTGGGGCCAGGCAGCAAATAACACCCATAATGCAGCATGTCTGTGTCTGGCAGAATCCCTCGTGGCCATACTTGTCCAGCTTGGAGGACTGTGCCAGAGACGGGGCTAATGCCAAAGGCTGGCACAAGCCACACATTATTCTTGTTCTCTTTTAACTTGCTTTATGGACTGTGTAGGATGATTTCATGCCTTGACTTGATAGAGTTCTCAGTTGGGTGCTTCAAAGTACCCAGGTCTAAAATGTACTGTGTGTATATTGTACACAAGCACTCGAACCTGCATAAAGACCCTCGGCTCCTCCAGCATGCAGTGTGGCATTGTTAGGAATTGAGTTATTTGACACAACCATGCTTGTCACACCAAAAATATTATGACAGTGTAAGCTGTGGTGGCTTAGATGAAGCAGATACAACAATAACAGTTCTCACTCAAGTAATAATAAGTCCCACGGTGATGCTTCCTAAATAAAAGAACAAGGCACAGAGACTGCAAGTTCACCACAGTGTTTCCCTCTGCACTCCCTTGAGCTCCCATCATCTCCTCAGATCCTGTGATGGAGAAAAACTGGGAATTTACACACAGAGAAAACAATTACATCTGGGATGCCACTGAATAATTCAAAAGTCATTGCTGTGTGTTATGATGCGTGCACGTGTTTGAAAGAAGCCAGGCGATCCTGCAGAAACAACACAACTGCTAGATTTATGGTCCCAAAAGTTGAAGGCTGGGAATTTTGAAGACTCACAAGACTCAGCTATTGGTTTCAACTGGGTCACGCACACCATGGTGAAATAAAGCAAAACAGACATACAGGGGTTCTTTTTGGTTTCATTTCAAGTATACAGGGCTACAGCAGCATTTGTATTCACATACAAATGGACAAAATTATACTGGCTTACACTCTGAAAGCTTTTGCACAAAACAGCCAGCAACACATTTATTCTTTACAGTGAACGCTCACATAAGCATAGAGCTTGCAAATACAGTATATGGAAAACATGGAGTTAACTGTGGATCATGTGGTTTTAGTGGCTTTAAGCAACAAACCTGATGCTAATAAGATACCAAAATCTATCTGGAGCTGTGAATACGTGGGCTTACATAATTTGTCTGTTTGCAATATGTTTTTACAGCAACATACACAACAACACAGAAACCCTGGGAATGACAACACCCAGCTGCCCTAGGTTTTATTTACAGTACTGTCTACACTTGCTGGCACAAGGGACCAGCAGTCTTGTCACATATGGGCATGTGATGTGTGTATCCTGCCTAAGCATCTGCACCAGTCTTCAGGCTGTTTATACCCGTTATTTATTCCAGTACAGTGTGATGTATTCTTGGCTCTTTACTCTGTAAATAGTCCCAAGACCCCCTTAAAATAATAAATGTCATCTTTCCATACCCCCATGTCTCAATTTTGAAACAAAGGAAAAAAAAAAAAAACACCTCACATTACACCCTTGTCCAAGTTTGTTGACTCACACCCACGTTTCATCTGAAAGGGAATGATTATAATTGTCAGCTGCTGTCCGACACTCTCGCTCCTTATGCACCTGTGGCATACACAGCCTGTATCACAAACTAAGGCACTCAACTGTAAGTGCAGAAGGCTGAACACCCTCAGGAGTTTTCCTCATGACATGAGAACATGAGACACATTTTTAAAACAGTCTGCAACTGAAATAAATGTGGCTGGGGCTACTGGGCTACTGCTGCATTCTACTGTTTATCTCTCATTCCTCAGTCAGTAAAGGTAAGTCGTGGAGCCAATGTCACATTTGAATGAGTTATGGTGTTTTGACTTGCCACAGGCTTTAGGAGACATGGAGGCCAAACAGGAGCCTGGCATGTCCTTCCCCCCCAAGACATGGGTCTACATCAGCCCTCTTTCACCAATGATCCATCCCAAACAGGCCATTCCTGAATTTGGTCCCCACAGCTCCTCTTGTGGCGTGTGCTCATGCTGGCCTCTTCTTCACTCTCTCGTTCTACAATTCACACTTTAATCCTCTTCAGCTGTTCATATGTGAGGAAGAACTGGGCATGAAGTAAAGGAACAGTTAAAACAAGGAGGGTGGACATGAGTAGGCTGAGAGGCACCCTGAGGACTTCTGGCTTCTTCAGTACTTTAGCTCAAAGCCCCCCTTGTTACATCAGGCTACTACGCTGTAGTAATTCTACAATCCCATTACATTTTTCAGGCATGACTGTAGCAAAGTTGGAAATGCTGTTACTCTGAATGCTGTGACAAAAACAATAATAATGATAATATTCTGTTAACTGTTAATATTTGGAAGCATTTGTTATCCCAGAGTGGATCAGGTCTCTATAAAGTCAGTACGGCTCATTGGATTCCCCAGAGCAGCATTCTGCTTTTGGATTGTGGTGGTGATATAGTTCTCCAGCCTTGTATCCCCTCTAATCAGGGGCAGTGGGGTACTGAGGCAGTATTCACACAAACAGTTTTCTTGCAATGGAGCATGGTTTGGAATGCCATATGTCACTGAATGCATAACAGAATTTACAATTTTTCCTTCATGATTTCACCAGCTCAGCAGATACTGAATCATCTAAGATGCACAGTATGTAAACAGACTCATTAATGTGATGGTTAAAGGATACAATGATGTTCCATGGTCCCAGGCGGAGCCAGTTGGGAAAGAAGCCCTTATAGAGGGCCATGACGCCCTCAGAGCGCCACGTCTGAAGAGGAAGCAAACATGTTAATAACCCCCTGTATCTTTATCTCATGATGGTCCTGAAGTTGTCTCTGAGTGGTTTTGAACTGGGTTGGGAAACCAGTGACATTAATGTTCTATCTAAATATTTAACATTACTACAGCATGTTAAATATTTATCACTGGAGGCAAAAATCAAATACAGACATGAGCACATCATCATGGCAATATACTGCCAATAATCACACCTAAAAATATACCAATTCAGACACAGAGTGAAGGGTTGAAGCCACTGTACATAATGCTGGGGGACTCGAGACACAGGTAAAAACGGGAGGGTCAGATTTGAAGCTGTGCTTTATTGACTCCTAATCTGTAGTATGAACACAGCTCCAAAAACTACATTTCCCATAATGCAAATTATGACATCTATTTGGTAAACCAGACTGCCTGGCCCAAATCTTCATCAGTTGTTATTTTCTACTCAAAGCTCCCTTCAGAACCACAGAAGGCTTTGGCAGTCTGAATATCAGTCTCCATGATGAGTAAACAGATCATTTACAATGGAGCACTGCATTACTGGAGTCATCAGTAATGGATTTTCTTTTTTTATCAGGAGTTTGACTGACCTGCAGTAAACAGTCCAGTGTTCCCTGGTACAAAGCGACTCCTCTCTGGTTCATCATGCGCGTCCGGACTACGTCCACCGGGTTGGAGGCCACAGCCCCGGCCAGGCTGCACACAAAGCTGGATCTAGGGGACAACAAAGCACAAAGGTCGAATGTTTAACCTAATACACACTGAGCCTCCTGCAAGAAGCAGTCATTCAAAAAGATTTGTTCTTCAGTGGCACGTGTGAGAAACTTAAGAGAATCCATGAGTTGTGCAGACCTGTCGTATGAGTCATGACCAGACCTGCTTTTCTTCACAGGGTGAAAGCAGGTTTGGCTTAAAAATTATAGCTGCTTAATCTGAATAAACTTGAGTTGAAATGTGATATAAAACTGATATAATAAAAAAAGCATACAGTATATAGCAAACTTAAAGCAAAACTAATATAATGCTCACCATTTTATCATCATGGCTTTCCAGTTTACTGAGAGGTATCTTTCTTGGCATGTTTAGTCACAAAGGTGTCTTTATTTCAGTAGTTTAAGTAGGAGATATTCCTCCCTCCTCTCACTGCCTCAGGGTCATTATACAAATCTATGTCCACTATACTGATAATGTACTGTAGTACAGACTGTAATGTACTGTGTGTACAGTACAGACTGTAATGTACTGTGTGTACAGTACAGACTGCAGTATTCTGTGACTGTCGTCCCCTTGTCTGCCTCACAGTATTAGTCAGGACTGGGCACCTCAGGGCCATTTTGCTGTAGAAAGATATTTTTTAGCATCTAACTTCATGCAGCCTGAATTATTCCCTCTTTATTTCTATCACATAAAAACCTAGGAGGAATTTAGGACAATTACAATCATGTTCTAACCAAAGAGTGGTTGAAGTAAAAAAAAGGCCAATGCCTGGTTGAGATACTGCAGCTCATTATTAAAAATGTGTTTTAGTTATATGAAGTGCCATTTTCTCCAAAAAGAACATTTTGGAGGTAGTTTTCAGCAGCCATAACAAATACACCTTGAACATACTAAAAGAATCACTATGAGTCTACAGCAGCAAAACTCAGATTTCTTTACCTCCGTTGCCAATTAGAACCATGTGATCTGAAAGGTGTTACTGGCCTTTCAACCAAGGTGTAGGGGTCTGTTTTTTAATCTTCATTTTTCTGCTGACAAGGATTTCCTTCCAGTGCCAACATCACATGACTGACCACATGATTGACTGCTCGCTTGATTGCTTGATTGATGAGAGAGAGTGGAGGGGTATGTCCAGGTTATTGTGCAAGCTTACATGAAGTGTGTGTACATGGTGTCGCCCATGTAACCCGATAGGATCAGATGCTTCTTGGTGATGTCATAGACCGGTAGCTCGACTCCAGCTACAATAGCTGCCCGCTGAGCTGTTAGGGAGACACCCTGGTGGAGAGAGAGAGAACACTGTATGACTTGCATTTTCAGTCTGTGCTACGTGAACTACACAGACACTGAGGAAATATATCAATACAAATCAAATATGTATAGGTGTTCTGTACCTTCCACAGCCCTCTTGTCCCCTCCTCCTGGTAGATGTTGATGAAGTTGCCCATCATACTGCCCTGGATCACATTTCCTTGAGCCTGCATGCGGATCTAGGAGAACAGACAGGTAATAGTTCACAAACATGAGCTCGAGTTCATGAAAGCATGCACAGCCAGTGTGGAATGCTGCAGGTTCACCAAGCCGAGGCTGCCTGGCACCGGCCAGATTATAGCCTTGATGGTTTTATATAGCTGTGCACCCTCGCTCACACAGGCACTGCATAAACTTCATTCTACATTTACTACTCTGCCGTCTCGGCTTACTGAATAAAGAAACCATCAGACAGGGTTGTTACCGTGACAGCTCAAGAGAAGAGAACTGATGCTGTTACATGCTGCAGATATGTTGGTGTGTGTGTGGCTTGATGGACGTCTTTCTTCTAAGCAACATGTTGAAAACGCTGTAAAGAAGCTCAGACTGAAGCTTGGCTTTCATTTCACACACGAGACCTGTTTTTCTTTGGAAAAACAGGAAAACACTGTTGGCTTGTACCTTTTTACCTGCACTATGGTGACATATTGTATACGTATACATTCATGAATGGACCAGCAGAACACCCTCGAGGGTTGGATTCTGTCTGCTTGTTAACTTAAAACCATTAACCCATCACTGTGTTCTGTACTCCAGAGCTGGCTTGTCATCTCTCTCTGTGTGCCATTTGAGTCACCAGTACATTTTTATTTACAAAGCTACTATAGATCAGTTTTCCCCACACCTTTGCAAAAAGGAGGTCACTTTTCATTCATAATCTAAGATCACTAAACACATATCTGCTGTCTGTTTCGAGTGTTCAGACAGAGATGGGGAAGAAAGCTTTCATGATTTCTGCTCAGCCACCTGGAGGAGGAATGAATACGGTATCACTGACTGGATAACTACTGTAAATTCATTGGTGACTGATTCCTTTTCTGCTTGTTTTTGTTCTTATTTTTTTCTTGGCACTGATACTGTTTCGTTCTTAGCCTTTGTAGATTTTGTACGTACATAATTATATCCTATGCTTTTTGTTTTCATCTGGAACTAATGATGCTGCTGTCTTGGCCAGGAATCCCTTGTGGTTAAGCATGGATTAAATAAATACAATTACAAAAATCAGAATGCAAACGGAAAAGGGTCGTTCTGAAGTATTTTCTCTAACCTTGTTTTGAGGAATGCTTGACTTGTTATCGATGATAAAGGCTGTTGTTTACAGATCAGCATCGGGTTACTGTGTGTGCCTCTGTGGTCACTTGTCAGGTCCAGATAGAACAAAGTGATGAAAACACAATGTCCCAAACGTGCTGCCAGCTCTATCAGTCTGTTATCTCTCAACAACCACACAGTGTAATCAAGACCTCATTACTCCTAAAGGGGCAAGAAGAAACAGCCCAACACCCATATCATTTACAGAACACTATGTAAAGCTTTAAGGGTTTAACTCTATAAATAATCCACAAGTGGGGTCGTGACTGCACCGAGATACCCTCCAACCCACTTGGACATGCCACCAAAAGACCACACCTCCTCTACAGCCTGGAACTATTACAGACTCTTTATAAAGAGGATATTAGTCCCTGGTATATATATATAAAAAAAATAATAATACTGGGAATACTGGAGGACTTACTCGAGGCTGCACGAGTATCCTAATTATTACAGCTGTACTTTAAACAAAACAACACAAAATGGACAGACAGCTGCTGTTTTCTAACTGTAAATTGTCAAACCTGCTCCACTGTATTAGGCTGCAGTTTCATAAGGACAGTACCAAGAAAGTGCCACACAGTCTTCATGTGTGCAAACAGCTACCTTCAGCACATCAGTGGGATTGGCGATGGAGGAGGAGACGACTCCAGAGAGAACACCACACATCACATTGGTCAGAAAGGTCTCATCTGGAAGATAAGATGAGTGGGAAGCTGACTAACAAGGAGCAGCACTTTATGCATCAAGCTGTCACAGTTTCTCCACTGTTTTCACAGAAGTACAAACACCAACAATGAGGTCTTAATAGGAGAAAAGGGGAAACTGATTTAAATAGGTCATGCACATCTGCTTCCCGTGTGACCTTGAAAAGGAGTGTAAATGTGTCCATGTATCAAAGAGAACCATGGAAACTGGGACTCACCCGTTGGTCTGTCAACCAGCAGCCGCTTAAAGCTCTGATACATGCCAATTTTAATGGTCCCATAGGAGGCCTGGCGCAGCATGGCTGGAGCTATTCTGTAAATGTCATGTGCATCTTTAATACCTAACACCACAATGTGTCAGTGGCCTTCAAACATCTACATATGCACTTTCTGACAAGACAAACAAGAGCAAAAAATAACATGACCTAACACCGAGCCAGGCAAATACAAAGAGAGAGGATGTTACAGACAAGTGGGGCAGTATGTTAAAAAATAATAAGGGCACAAAAAAGCCAGGAGTAAACATTTGAAAAGAAAACACAAAGTACAGAGGGACTGGGGAATCAAACAGCGGGTAAAGTTTAGAAGACAAACGTATTAAAAGCACCTGAGACACAGGTATAACAGATGCACCTCACTGACCCTGAGTACAGCGCCCGCAGACCCTCCTCTCGTCCGATCCTGGCTATGGCATGGAGCATGCCTCGGTAGCGGATCTCTCGGTATTTGCTATCGCGCACCTGGCCTTGCACTTGCAGGCGCGTCTTGGCTAGGTCGATTGGGAAAGTCCCTGAAAACCAAAGTAACAGGTCTCTTTCTTACAGGAGTGTAAACCATAACCAAGACTGAAATAATTAACTGTCCTCATTCAGACCCGGATTCCACACCGTACATCACTCACCACACTCCGCCGTCACTGACGCTAAGCCGCCGTATACAAAGGGCTGCCAGCTCACACCGGACATTTTCTCCAGCCGTCTACCGAGTCACAGTGGAAACCTCCTGGCGAACCGGTAGGCTATACTTTTAAAAAGCGTTTCAATCACTGGCGGAGCTCGAGGAGCCCAGCCCCGCGTCCCACACCCATGCCGCCGGTGCTGGAGGAAGCTCCGCCTGCCCGCTGGCCACGCCCCCCGCTTATTGCTCACCAACCGGGCCGCTCAGTGGATGAGAGGGTGACCTTCCTCTGCAGAAACAATCTATTGATGTTGTTACCTTGGAACTTTTAGACCCTTTCTTTGAATAGTCTCATCATAAGGATTGTTTGAAAACTAGCAAAAAGGTCACAAGTCTAATTAATCTTATACATCTTATAAAACTCCCACAACTAACAGACAATAAGGGAATTACTGGCTACACTTGCAAGTGCAACCCATAGTAAAAATAGAACTAACGAATCCAAGCACACATCTTAAGAAGACCTGCATGTTCAGTGGGATTGGTGTAACAGCTGATAGCTCATGTTTTTTAACCAGGGGCGTTGCTAGACATAAGGCTATACTAGGACACAGGCCCCTTATTACTCAAATAATATTTCTTGAAACAACTACTGCTAAAAGTAAAAATGGAGAGATGTAAATTATATATGCATAGAATTTATTTGTTTTATAAATTCCCCACTCACCCCCCACTTCGGGGCAGTCTTGTATTCCTTCCTTCAAGCTCGGGTCCTCTACCAGAGGCCTGGGAGCTTGAGGGTCCTGCGCAGTATCTTAGCTGTTCCTAGGACTGCACTCTTCTGGACAGAGATCTCAGATGTTGTTCCTGGAATCTGTTGGAGCCACTCTCCCAGTTTGGGGGTCACAGCCCCCAATGATCCTATAAAATTTAGTTGGAGCTCTAATAGAAAAGACATGCAGTCTGACAGTGTTGAGTGTAGAGACATGAAATGCAGTCAGTTTTTTCATCCTTGATTTGTTTTAGACTCCCATGTTGTTTTCAGTTATTTAGCAGTCTGATCTGGACTGTTGACCTTCTAACTGTAGAATTCAAAACATGGGAAAAGAATTAACAGTGACATTAGTGACCTATGACTGTAAACTCAGCCATAAACTGAAATGTTAAAGGACCCCTTTTCATTTAAATAGCATTGTGTGTCTGGAAACAGCCACAGAGAGATGATGATTAATATACATTCATCCTGAATTCCAGATTTTTATAATGAATGAGCTTTATGATGGACAGGCCAACAGACAGACATGTGCACCCACAGCCTCTTGTCTCTAGTGTGGCTAAAGGTACCTCTAAGTTTTAATACTCACACTGGTAAGCTGATGCAGATGTGTCCACACCTGTGAGCAATACTAATCCTTATAGTATATAT